AAATATATATTATAATAAACAGCTCTAGTATATATTAGAGCTGTTTATACTTGTAAAGGAAAATAAATAGCAATTATTTTATAAATAACGAGCAGTTATTTATTGTGACGTGGTCACAATGCCGGGCTGCAATTTTTAATCAAATTTTTAATTTATTTCACTTAAAACATATGATCTTCACTTCATCTTAGTAGTGGCTTACCCCCGTACATCACACTTTTCCTTTCTTGCCCCTTGGCTTTCCGTATGTCGTCTGGTGTTTCATCCATGTAACTCCGTTCTGGACAGTAAGGAAAGACGGACAGACGGACACAAGAACGACAATGGTATTTACAGATATACATTTTTTTAATTGCAGCCCAATTAAAAATAAACTGATTTCATTCCGTAATAATTTAATACATTTTTCTGTTTAATGAAACTGACCTTTTTAATTCTGATTAACCAATCTACTCATTGCTTTTGTGATTTTCTTATATTCTTTTTGTTAAAGGCTCTTCCTGGGAAACCAGTAAAAATTGTAGTATCGGCTCGACCTTTGACCGAATCTAACTGATCACGCTCCTCTCCGAGATTTAGCTTAAGGTATGCATCAATATCTACATCAGGCCCTAATTCGTCTTGAAATATTTGATATAAATCTAACTTCTTGGGTTGATCACGTCGTCCAGTTTTCCTGTATCGAGCCTCGCTACATTCTAAGAAAATAACTCCTGGAAAAAATTAATATATTAATATTTTGCCATTGAGTAAATACAGTTAAACCTCTGAACAATGGCCACTTAAAGAAATGTTAAAACAGTGGCAGAGTTTGTAGACTATTCTGTAAGCATCCATCCTTGTTCCAAATCAGGTGCCACAGTTCGGAGATGACCGTTGGGAAGCGGCCGTCATTGCAGAGTCGACTATACAAAAGTATATCAAAAGATACTTTATAAACTTTACTTACCGATAACGATGAACGTAAACAGGAACTTGTTCATCTTCGCTTATTAGTTATGCTGAATTGTTCTGGTGTTTTCTGTGGGTTTTGACTATCTGTATGCTGACAACACTCAATTGGTCATTCTTTTATAAGAGAATTATGCAATTCGTCGTAATTTCATTGGTTGCGGGACATCTGGATGTCGATCAAAGTCGATGATGTCGCGCGTGGAAATTTTAAAACGTCCAATCGTGTAAATGTTTATTTAAATTTATATATTTTGCTTCAGTAGCTGACCCGATTCGATGCTACAACACGTCTACTGAGAGAATATTTCTGTTCGAAATTAACACCTAAATAGGAACGAGATTCCCGTAGAAAGTTCTCTCGGGTGGCACATCTCCTCTTAACAGATGGCCCGAGTGTTGCGCGCTCTTATTCCATTAATCTTGTCACATATAAAAAGATTCTTTCTCATCAGATAATGAAGTAAAATATATGACGGTGTCTATAGGCGCAGTTTATTTATCTTAAGTGTGGCCCTGTCCATCGTCCTCGTGGTAGGCCTGGCCGAATCCATAGTAAGTAGAGTAAATGGCTCTTTTGGTGCCCAGAGGGAAGAAGGAAGTAAAAAATAGAGTCTACGGGATAAGTCAACGTAATACATGGACGATCTAATATATGAATAAAAAGTGAGGTTTACAGAATATTAATTTAAATGAAATTAATTCAATATTAACTTATGAAAACTCATTTTAATAATAGTAAAAACTCCAGTTGTATGTTTGATCTGAATTCAACACGAAGCTATTTGTAACATTGAGGTATAAATAACTGATTATATTAGCATTTAATTAAATAACCCACTAAAATAATAATTCTAATGTTCAATAATGGCAAAGAAATCATACATAATGCAAATTATACGGGGATATCACAATTAAAATATTTATAATTCATGCCGTCTAGAGAGTTATTTAATATTCCAAATGCCACCAAATGGCAAGACGACATCTCGAAACACGTGCAAGATTTCACTTAAAACGAACGATATTCATTGTGACATCGTCAAAATGCTGGCATGCAATTTTTCGTCACAATACTATTGTCCTCCACCCGTACGTCATACTTTTCCTGTTAGTAACAGAGTCCTGCCGGTCATTATCTTGGAAAGTATTTAAATCGAAATAACATAACTTCCGGTTTGCACGAAACGTCCTAAATTGTTAATCGCGTCCTCCTCCCCGTAATACCTGGTCTTGATTTTTATGTATCTAAGTCCGTTCTCGAGATTAAGGAAGGACGGACGGACGGGCGACAGTGGAACTTTATACTTCTACAATTTTTTTCAAATTGCAACCCAACAAATAATAGGTGTTAATCTCGCCACAATAATACTTTTGGCATTGCAAGCCGTGTGAATTTATTTATTTATTCACAAAATATTCTCAAAAGTTCTGTTAGTTTTTATATCTAAAATGTTCTCAGGAAATGTTTAAAATAAGAGAAAATATTTTACTCCAGCTCACTAGTTATTGATTGGATAAAACCACTGAAAACTGTAGCGTGATCGCGGGTTTGCCTCTCACTAACAGTAGTTTTTTTTAAAACCCCTTTCGCTCCGACATCACTAAGAGGATTTTTTCAGCAAACCCATTGTGGATCCGATCCCGAATCCCCCAAAACGTCCGTCAAGTGGAGGTTTAAAACTTTTTTCACGTCTCTAACACTTAATTACGTCCCAATTTCACGTAGAAATAACTCCCCGGAGGAATCTCTTTTTGGCAGACGGTCCAGGCGACACGTTGCCTTATCCCATTAATCCCACAATTGCATTCGTAGAAGCGCTTGTAAGGAGCTAATCGTATAAGGCAGTCAGTTACCTTATACTTAATTCTATGAAACTAAAATATTCAATAAATTCATAAATAGAACAAAATATGGCAAGTCTCCCACCTATATTGACTTTTTCATTAAAATTTGACAATCGACTCGTGACAATTAACGGCTGTCTGACCCAAAAAACAATAAAATTTGCAGAGTTAAAATTTTAACTTTAACGAATATTTTATAATTCCAAATTTTTCTTAAATATTCTTTAAATATACATCACAATGCGATTAAATAATACGATTATCGCCTTACTCGGAAGTGATATTTTCTTTCAGTAGAATCCATCGTCGTCACTTTAATATATCTTTTAAATGATACAAATTCAGACAGATTTGAAATTAGGTCAATTCGTCTTGTTTAGTTGATGATAAATTATAATATAAACACATAAATTAAATTAATGGATGCACAGAAAGTAAACATTTGGGTACTCTTATCGAGAGAATTATTCTTTTCCTTAATTTCAATTCGTGTATTTATTATAGATAGCGCTTAAAATGATTGAGGATTCTCACCTATATATTAATAAATGTGTGCATATAAACATTATATTTTCTGAAAAAATAGTTTATATTGATAGGTATATTTTTATGGAAATAAACGCGCATTAACGATCCGAGGACCTGAGAAACCTAAACACTGTCTAAATATAAGAATTTACACGTAATTATACGAATTTAAGTTATGATTTAATGATACTTGCAGTAAGGTTTATCCTAATTTTACTTTCTGAGCATCCATTAAGACTATTTTTGTGTTTATATTGTCTTTTGTCGTCAACTAAACAAAATGAATCGACTTAATTTTAAGTTTAACTAAAAATATATCATTTAAAACATATAAAGATGGCGTCTACCGAAAGAAGGAATTAATTCTAAATATGGCTATGATTGATCATATTTTTTTTAATCGTTTTTTGATGTATATTTTAAGCAATATTTAAGAAAAATATAAATTTATAGAAAATGCGTTAAAATTAAAAATATATTCTCTATTTTAACTCTGCTCANTAGTCTGTAATACAGTTATAATTTTTAAAGTAATAAAAAATATATAGTTTTATACAAAATAATATATATAAAACTTTTTACTTAAAGAATTCATTATATTCCATGTCAGGTAAACATATTTCAAATGGTTACTTTCAAGGTGTTTATCTGATATTGAATGTAAGGATTACAGTTTTAACGTTATTTTAGTTATTCTGTTTGAAGTACAGTTAACATTAGGATTAGGTTAGAATAACATTAGGATTTGCTTGTAAGTAATAATAAGCAAATGACAAAATCAAGCAAAACATAAATCTAATACTATTCTAAAAATAGCAATACTTGCCAGATATAATTAGTCATTTTTATACCACTTAAAATGGGTTTTTTTCAATGAATAAACCAAAGTGTTATGTCCTTTGAATCCATATTAATATAACAAATATACACATACTACATACATTGACAACATACCAATATAATAAATACATTACTATTAATGTTTTGTTATTGAAAAAAGTTGGATGTGCTTATAATTTTGAAATGGACTGGTACATACAAACAGAATAGACTTAAAAGTATGACTTGACTGTTTAATTGGCTTCTAATAAGAAACCGATTAAACAGTCAGGGAATCTAAAGAAAGACCATAGATAAAAGTGTTAGAAGCAAATAATATAATAGGGAAAAATGTTATTGTGAATAAGGTATTCAAGGAAGAATGACAGAATGGAAGGGATAAAAGTAGATGATCAGACTACGATTCAACCCCCAATATAAATGGATAATAAAAAAGGAGAATAAGATGTTTTTTGTAGAAAGTAAATATAGAATTTTTTAAGAAATTTGATTAGCATAAGAAGAATTATCATTATAAATTAAGAAAATAACTGACCTGTAAGAGCATTTCTTTTGTCAGGATTATCTAAGCATAAGTAAGCAATACCATAATCATCATCTTGTAATAGTTTTATCTGTCCTCCAGAATACTTCGAAAATTCTTTCATAATTTCTGGTAAGGAAGTGGAACTGCAACAATTTCGCCAGCATTTTACCCTATCTATTTGATAAATTTCAATCAATATATTTAAAAACCTTATACAAAATAGTGAAATTAATTTAAGCAAATTTACCTTTAACCACTTTATTGCTTACATTAAGTAATTTTTTGCAATAAGAATTGAATCTAAATAACATTTCTTCTTAAGCACATGAATTACTTCAAATTCCTAAGCAAAGAGAACTGTTGTTTATGTTACATTATTGATAATTTGATGACAGTAATAATAAGCATTACTAATCTCATAGAAGTTAAATGAGGGATTTCAAAGTTATTTCCAGGAATGACTGTTCCTAGCATCCTGCAAAACTACTGATCACAAACCAGTACCCTCCCAACAAACAAACTTTTATAATATTAACAAGGTTTTGTGCTAAAAGGATAAGAGACAAGAGGCAAACTCGTCATGCTTACACAAAGCAAGGTTTAACAATGACAGATGTGAGACAGTTGTCCTTCTCCAGCTGTTAGGTAACAGAATTTTCTGAACAGATGGACAGAAACAAACTTTGTCCATAAAATTAAGACTAACCTAAAGACTGAAGAATGAGAGCTGACTTAAGGTGACGACAGTCCCTTCAATTTTCCTCTCACCACTTGATGATGGTAATTAGATGGATGAGTGTCAGGATAAAATTACAAGAGGATAAATTGGCTAAAAGTTTCACAATGGTATGAGGAAAAAACTAAAACTTTAGTGATGAAGACAAATGATAAGACAGATATTAACCTAATCTTATTACTATCCCTAAAAACTTTCTTATCCTATCACTATCCTTAAAGTGTACTAAAGCAGAAATAATTAAGACATTAAGATATCAATAGTTTTCTGTCCAACTCAGGTCCATAGAACCTGATTGGGGGTGTCCCACTTAGAAAAATTGCCTGTTACAAAGACCAGAAGTCCAGAGTAACTTGAGAACTAAAGATTATCAGATTTTGATATGAAAAAGTTGGTGGGTAGTGATTCAATTCTTGAATACATTCCTTTTCCTGGTCAGTCACAACTCATGCTTAACCAAGTGGAGGAGGTTAACCACATCAAATGCATCACATCTGCTAAACAGAATGAAAACAATATTCTTATCTGACAGACAAGCTTACCTAGCTCTAAAGTTTCCTGGCCACCTTACACAAATAGAAGAGATGTGCTGCAATTTCTGGTGGAGTCACATTTGGACAGTTTACTCTCTCATAAACTCCAATAAACTGGAGCTTATTCCTAGTGGAGCATTGTATAGTTCACTTACTGCAGTTCAATGCAGTGTTCCGACACTAGCCTATCAAAACATCTGCACCAAACTATGAACCAGACTGTAATAACAGTAAGTTTAACAGTTGCAGAGAAAAGTAAGATGCCAGTAAATTTCAGAAATTCTAGTTTTAACTGAAGGAAAGTTGTTCAATTGACTGAGACTAAGCAGGTGTGTGCACAAAACTCAATAACAGGTAGATGGATCACCTTAGGCATCAAATTCACTTGATAATTGAGCAAGATCTAATAATAATCTGGACAGCAGAAAAAATATGAGCTAAAATACAACCCATCCACTCTTACTATTATACATTGTATCTCTTACAATTATACATCTTATCTCTTAATCACCCATTCAGATCTGCTTCTTCAAACATAACAGTAAAAGAAGCTTTATATAACCAAAGACTGCTTACAGGTCATAAACTGAAGCATAATAAACATAAATATCAACAAGAAAGTCTTGTAAACAGCTATTCTACTATTCATATAAAAATCTGGTCCCTTAGATTATCTCTCTTAGGCTTTCTTTGTGCATATTTGCACTAAAGTATAAACCTAAGATCTTAACACTTGTGCTTACAGGGATATCAGAGAATGACATCCCCGTAAGCATAGGTAGAAGGCAAGGAGCAGTAGAAATCAAGATTTCCACTCATCAATGACAGCTCGAGATCCCACAAAGTGCCGAAAACTCCGGAGACGGCCCGCATCATCCACAAGAGCTACAGATCTGTAACAGAAAGACAAAGTTATGAGGCAAAAGACATCAAGAAATAGGAAAATCCCAAAGTATGGCTCTCAAGAGAATGCCAATATTTAGGGAAAGAGAAACAGAAGTCTCATTAGTCACATTCACACTACACATTCTTAATGACATCATCGTGCATTATTCTAGTTGTTGTCGTTTGTTAAGTTATTGCAACACGGCACTTGGGTGATCTGCCTAGGGCAGTGATGGGCAAACTACGGCCCGCGTGCCAGATGCGGCCCCCTGAAATGTTCTATCCGGCCCGCGCGACATTATTCCTAATCTGACGAGTAAAAAAGAATACAGGCTGTGGTGGTTGATTCACCACTTAACTTGAGTGTTCGTTGATTATATAAAATAACCGAAGCTTTATATCTCACCACGAAAGTTTATTTACAATCATGTACAAAATTTTGTTTTACACTTGTTGAGTAAAAGCTCGATCGGTTACAAGCATGCTTCGGTACAGAACATCCACTCGTCGTGCGTAGCATAGCCGAAAGAGAGAAAAAGAAATATGACTGACGGCTTGCACATGTTTTTATAGCGCCACCTGGATTTTCAGATGCAGCGCTAGGTTACAATTATATTGGCCCGCCTAAAGTTTTCTTCTTTTCCTTTGGCCCGCTCTTTAAAAAGTTTGCCCATCACTGGCCTAGGGGATGCCTTCTGGGAGGTCTTTTAAGAAAAACTGATCCCTATTTAGGCATTACACACGTGGAGAAAACCCAGAAAACTCCACGAGGCCAGCCCATTTGAGGAGGCCGAACCCACAACAGAACTCCCAGTGTTCGGGGCCCGAAGACCGCTTCGACCACTGGTGGGCCCATGCATTATTCTAAGTTAATGCAATAAGTGCATTACATGCAGACCAAATAGTTATTCTGAACAAGATGGCAAAATGTGATACATATAATGCAATATTCGGAAGTTTCAAAATTTTGTAATGTGCACCGGGGATGACGAACAATGTGCTCCAGTGATTTTCGTGCATCTCTGTCTGACCCCGTTTCCGATAAGGGATCCTAGAGACAGCCTGGCAATAAAAATACATAATTTTCATAGCCGAAATGACCTCGGAAGGTACACGATACGAATTTAGAACTTGTCAAAGAAAACCCCGAATCGGCAATCGAAAGTAACGGCCATCTCCTATTTAAGCACGTTCTATAAGTAATCTAATAAACATTCACTTATCTAATATACATTAATAATAAGCATTACTTAAATCACGTGTTCTATTCTATCCTTCTTCTCCCCCTGTACAGTGGCTAGAAAATATAGTGTCGAAAGCGCTTATATTCCTCCATTATAACCGTTCGGTCCATACAGCGAGGTTAGTGACGTCACAGACAAGGTGGCGCTGATGTCAATCGTAGTGCTACTTTCGCTTTGGCTACGTGATATCCTTTCTTACAAGAACATCGAAAGCGATTAAATTTGTGCTTGTAAAGTGAATAAATCCTTAGGAAATAGCTGAACAGAAACTTTACTGACTCGTGTATTTCTAATTTATACATATTACTCTACTGTAATTTTTAATTCTTTTATTTTTGTCGAAAAGGGTGAGAAATCTACATGCATATTAATCTGTAATTTTTTAAGAGAGATTTTTCAAATATAAAGTGTATATGCATGGTACTTGGCAGTAGACTAATAATCGTTTATTTGTACATACTTAATTTTGTAATTTTATATTGGGACAATAAAGTAACATTCTGCCTTTATATTTTATATACTGTGTAGAATTTAATTGTAATTTTAATATTGCTTTATACTATGTCACATAATACTGTGAACAGTATACAGTATTATGTAACTGATGGCATTTGCTTAATAAATTCTATTTTAGGCCCTCACAGTGGAAGAGGTTCACAAAGCCATATAAAACTTACATTTTATTATTAAAAATATGATAAATTCTGTATTTTTTTAGTAAATATGAATAAACCTTGTTGTTAATAAGGTAATAACAAGAGTAGATTACTCTTGTACTCTAAATAATACTTGTTTGTACAGCACTCAACAGCTGTAATGTAAAAATAGACAATACAGTGTAGGCTATTTGATTTAATAAGAATCTTAATTAGCTTTAATAAAATGAATTCCTTCATAAATGTTAATAAAGTAATACTATATAATAATTGATTGCTAGTGATATGATTTATTATCGATCTAAATTCTTTTACTTGGCTACAGCACATTTACTATGCTTAAAAATCCCACTTAAAACCAATATAAACATAGGATGATACAGCCAGTGTAGCACAACGATTGACAGCAGCGCCTCTTGCGGCAACCTCCAATATAGGGGCAGAAAATAAGCTCGATTTCGACACTATATTTTCTAGCCACTGTACCCCCTGGTTCATATTAGATCACGTGTTATCAGCCATCTTTTAAATTAACAGAAGTGTATAAGTGTTGCCAACTGACGTAAATTATAATCTAGGACCTTGAATTAGAATAATCAGCAAATTTTATCAAAAATTTTGATATATATTTTCAAAAATACAAATAATACAGCGCAAAATATAATAAAAACGAAATTTCTATAATTACTTTTAAAAAAATAAAAGCGAAGCTGCGAGCATTGTTAATCGGACCCCGTCCCATACCATGCGGTCGCTTTATTTTCAAGAGGTTTCATTCTTATTCTAAAGTTTCGTGAATTTTAAATTATATATTTTTACATCACGCTTTTTCAAAAAATCTAAAAGTTTGTTACTATATCGGGGTGAGACGGAGCCGTTACTGTCGAAATTTATACTAATCCAGCGCAAAAGTTTGTCGGAAATTCAGCAATGAAGTGCTTAAAACGTTTATCTAATTAATTTAGAATATTCTTTGGAATAAATTCAAAAGTATATTGCGGTGGACCCATTTATTGCCACACTGTAGTTACGGTTTTTTCTCATAACGATATTTCTCCATAAGAGAGTATTGGCACACGTAAACCCACCCTCCCAGCGTATATGCCGGAGGATGCTATCTCCTTTCATGCAGTGTCGACAATAAATTATTTTAATTATTAGCCTATAGTTAGAAGGCATCCGAACATCTTGCACCAACCGACTAATTTGTATGTAAATTATCTGTGCTAAGGTTAATTCCGTGTAACGTTACTCGACTTTGCATCGATTAACAACGTTACGCGATGATATGGGAATTATAGAAATTGTTCGTATTCGAGACGTTAAAGACGACCACCGTGTTCTTTTAAGAGCAGAATGGGAGCAGAAATCCAATATTAAAGATTTTGTGGTCAATTTGCAAACTCGAGACTCGAGAACTCCGAACAAACACGAAGCCCACAGTGGCCGGGTTAATATAACCAGTCGACTAACGGGCCACCGGGTTTTCTTTACGTTAATAACACCTAAATAAGGGACAGTTTCCCATAAAAGACCTACGAAAGGCTTCCTCCTTGACAGATCGCCCACGTGTGGCGTTGCCGTGTATAAACATAAACAGAACAATATTATTTTCACCAGCCAAAACCCTTTATTAATGATTTCATATTGTAGTTACAATTTTTAAACAACATCCAACAAATAAGATTTATTATATTATAGAAGTGAAAACCGAAGCTTGACTGTGAGGTGCTCCAATTAAAGGCTAACTACAAAGAAAAAGAAAGATCTGGATATAATTTATATATAAAAATGACATAAATAAATTAGTATTTAAAGGCAGTTGATTATTTTAATTAATTAATTAATTAATATTTTAGCTATTTTCTACAAAACAAAAATTAAAAGTTATTATAGTAATTAGAAATTCAAATATATATTATAATAAATATCAGAGCTGTTTATACTAAGAGAATACTGCATATTTTACTGTATATTAGTATTTGTAAAGAGAAGTAAATAGTAATTATTTTATAAATAACGAGCAGTTATTTATTGTGACGTGGTCACAATGCCGGGCTGCAATTTTTATTTTATTTCATTTAAAATATGAGCTATCCATCTCAAATTAGTAGCGGCTTGCCCCCGTACACTTTTCTTTTCCTGCCCCTTGGCTTTCCGTATGCTGTCTGGTGTTTCATCTATGTAATTCCGTTCTGGACAGTAAGGAAAGACGGACAGACGGACACAAGGACGACAGTGGTTATTTACATATATATATATTTTTTTAATTGCAGCCCAATTAAAAATAAACTGATTTCATTCCGTAATAATTTAATACATTTTTCTGTTTAATGAAACTGACCTTTTTAATTCTGATTAACCAATCTACTCATTGCTTTTGTGATTTTCTTATATTCTTTTTGTTAAAGGCTCTTCCTGGGAAACCAGTAAAAATTGTAGTATCGGCTCGACCTTTGACCGAATCTAACTGATCACGCTCCTCTCCGAGATTTAGCTTAAGGTATGCATCAATATCTACATCAGGCCCTAATTCGTCTTGAAATATTTGATATAAATCTAACTTCTTGGGTTGATCACGTCGTCCAGTTTTCCTGTATCGAGCCTCGCTACATTCTAAGAAAATAACTCCTGGAAAAAATTAATATATTAATATTTTGCCATTGAGTAAATACAGTTAAACCTCTGAACAATGGCCACTTAAAGAAATGTTAAAACAGTGGCAGAGTTTGTAGACTATTCTGTAAGCATCCATCCTTGTTCCAAATCAGGTGCCACAGTTCGGAGATGACCGTTGGGAAGCGGCCGTCATTGCAGAGTCGACTATACAAAAGTATATCAAAAGATACTTTATAAACTTTACTTACCGATAACGATGAACGTAAACAGGAACTTGTTCATCTTCGCTTATTAGTTATGCTGAATTGTTCTGGTGTTTTCTGTGGGTTTTGACTATCTGTATGCTGACAACACTCAATTGGTCATTCTTTTATAAGAGAATTATGCAATTCGTCGTAATTTCATTGGTTGCGGGACATCTGGATGTCGATCAAAGTCGATGATGTCGCGCGTGGAAATTTTAAAACGTCCAATCGTGTAAATGTTTATTTAAATTTATATATTTTGCTTCAGTAGCTGACCCGATTCGATGCTACAACACGTCTACTGAGAGAATATTTCTGTTCGAAATTAACACCTAAATAGGAACGAGATTCCCGTAGAAAGTTCTCTCGGGTGGCACATCTCCTCTTAACAGATAGCCCGAGTGTTGCGCGCTCTTATTCCATTAATCTTGTCACATATAAAAAGATTCTTTCTCATCAGATAATGAAGTAAAATATATGACGGTGTCTATAGGCGCAGTTTATTTATCTTAAGTGTGGCCCTGTCCATCGTCCTCGTGGTAGGCCTGGCCGAATCCATAGTAAGTAGAGTAAATGGCTCTTTTGGTGCCCAGAGGGAAGAAGGAAGTAAAAAATAGAGTCTACGGGATAAGTCAACGTAATACATGGACGATCTAATATATGAATAAAAAGTGAGGTTTACAGAATATTAATTTAAATGAAATTAATTCAATATTAACTTATGAAAACTCATTTTAATAATAGTAAAAACTCCAGTTGTATGTTTGATCTGAATTCAACACGAAGCTATTTGTAACATTGAGGTATAAATAACTGATTATATTAGCATTTAATTAAATAACCCACTAAAATAATAATTCTAATGTTCAATAATGGCAAAGAAATCATACATAATGCAAATTATACGGGGATATCACAATTAAAATATTTATAATTCATGCCGTCTAGAGAGTTATTTAATATTCCAAATGCCACCAAATGGCAAGACGACATCTCGAAACACGTGCAAGATTTCACTTAAAACGAACGATATTCATTGTGACATCGTCAAAATGCTGGCATGCAATTTTTCGTCACAATACTATTGTCCTCCACCCGTACGTCATACTTTTCCTGTTAGTAACAGAGTCCTGCCGGTCATTATCTTGGAAAGTATTTAAATCGAAATAACATAACTTCCGGTTTGCACGAAACGTCCTAAATTGTTAATCGCGTCCTCCTCCCCGTAATACCTGGTCTTGATTTTTATGTATCTAAGTCCGTTCTCGAGATTAAGGAAGGACGGACGGACGGGCGACAGTGGAACTTTATACTTCTACAATTTTTTTCAAATTGCAACCCAACAAATAATAGGTGTTAATCTCGCCACAATAATACTTTTGGCATTGCAAGCCGTGTGAATTTATTTATTTATTCACAAAATATTCTCAAAAGTTCTGTTAGTTTTTATATCTAAAATGTTCTCAGGAAATGTTTAAAATAAGAGAAAATATTTTACTCCAGCTCACTAGTTATTGATTGGATAAAACCACTGAAAACTGTAGCGTGATCGCGGGTTTGCCTCTCACTAACAGTAGTTTTTTTTAAAACCCCTTTCGCTCCGACATCACTAAGAGGATTTTTTCAGCAAACCCATTGTGGATCCGATCCCGAATCCCCCAAAACGTCCGTCAAGTGGAGGTTTAAAACTTTTTTCACGTCTCTAACACTTAATTACGTCCCAATTTCACGTAGAAATAACTCCCCGGAGGAATCTCTTTTTGGCAGACGGTCCAGGCGACACGTTGCCTTATCCCATTAATCCCACAATTGCATTCGTAGAAGCGCTTGTAAGGAGCTAATCGTATAAGGCAGTCAGTTACCTTATACTTAATTCTATGAAACTAAAATATTCAATAAATTCATAAATAGAACAAAATATGGCAAGTCTCCCACCTATATTGACTTTTTCATTAAAATTTGACAATCGACTCGTGACAATTAACGGCTGTCTGACCCAAAAAACAATAAAATTTGCAGAGTTAAAATTTTAACTTTAACGAATATTTTATAATTCCAAATTTTTCTTAAATATTCTTTAAATATACATCACAATGCGATTAAATAATACGATTATCGCCTTACTCGGAAGTGATATTTTCTTTCAGTAGAATCCATCGTCGTCACTTTAATATATCTTTTAAATGATACAAATTCAGACAGATTTGAAATTAGGTCAATTCGTCTTGTTTAGTTGATGATAAATTATAATATAAACACATAAATTAAATTAATGGATGCACAGAAAGTAAACATTTGGGTACTCTTATCGAGAGAATTATTCTTTTCCTTAATTTCAATTCGTGTATTTATTATAGATAGCGCTTAAAATGATTGAGGATTCTCACCTATATATTAATAAATGTGTGCATATAAACATTATATTTTCTGAAAAAATAGTTTATATTGATAGGTATATTTTTATGGAAATAAACGCGCATTAACGATCCGAGGACCTGAGAAACCTAAACACTGTCTAAATATAAGAATTTACACGTAATTATACGAATTTAAGTTATGATTTAATGATACTTGCAGTAAGGTTTAACCTAATTTTACTTTCTGAGCATCCATTAAGACTATTTTTGTGTTTATATTGTCTTTT